ACACACACACACACACACAATTAAGTACCCATATATGACATATTACAATCACGGAGACAGCAAAAGCAATTAAAAACATTCTTACCTTCAGATATGTAACAAGTGCATCTCCCTTTTTCTTTCCGGTCTCTTTGTCAACATACAGCTTCACACGTGGCTTTTTTGTTTCAGGATCCTGAATGTTTATAAGATACGCAGTATGAGAAGATAATTATTATATCATAGTACAGAGTGTGGGAGACGTGCAACAAGGATTACAAAGTATAATGTTTCACACAGTCTCATGATGGGAAAACAAGGTCACTTTGCAGTATACCATGGCAAACAGTACTCAGTTGTATTAGTTAAAGCCCTATTAATCAAACAATAACTCTAAGCAAGACTCTGAGAATTTGATAAATTTATGGAAACAAAAGGAGTATTAGCTTCTTCAGTTCAGTCTCTGATAAGTACTATGCATCTTCAAAGTTTTCATTATAAAAAAAGTTCCTCAATCATGAGCTCACTTCTAAGCATCATTGAACCATCTTCGAAAACAGTAGTACTCAACAAATTAACAACATGAACTGTATCCACACACAAAAAAGGAAGCTTAGTAGAACTACATGATGAGATGAGTTATTTGTTCTCACCATTCTAGAAAAAGTCAAATGTTTATTTTATTATCCCTCATCTCGGGAAGGAAAAATTGATAATAATTAATGACCTATATTGTCAATGTATAGCACAGCATAACCATACTCAAATATTGGGAAATCATGGCATGCAAAGTAAATTGTCTATAACATGTAACAAATTCCTACCTCCTTTATAATTCCACACTTGGTAAACACCTCCACCACCTGCCAAATATCCCTAAATTAGTATTGTGCCACAAAAATAGTGAGGATGAAATAATGACAGTGACTTACTTCGTCAACCGTTACATCATCCGGCAATCCAGTCACATAAACATGTGTATTAACCTTTAACTCAAACCAACTATCAGGAGGTTTATTAGCTTCCTGCAAAATATAACGAAACAAGACAGAAGGGGAGTAAACCAGTACTGCTTCATAAATTCTATACACAGAAATTTCAAGCCCAGACTAGCATAACTAATCTATTAATAGGATCCAATCAGAGTCCATCAGAACAATAGCCTTTGATATAATAGACTTTAATCAATAAATGGTACACCATCAACAAAAGCAGAAGAACAATATAAAAGGAGCAAACCTTCTTGTTAGCTTCCTTATCTGACAATTTTCTCTTAGAACTTTGATCTCCTTCTTCTACCTCACTGCTACCGTTAGCGTCTTCCTCTTTAGAGGGACCAGAAGCGTTTCCAGGTGCATTAACCTCTTCCCCTGCAGAGACCTCAGAAAAATTGACAGCCGGAAAAACTTCCTCTTCTTGCAAGAAAGTCATCTCTTCTACCCCAAACGTGCTATCCTATTAGGCATTAAATCAGTCAAATATACATTCAATAAAAACAAGTGAGACAACTTATGATGGCTGAGGGCCAAAACATGAGCAATTTGATTTACTTGCGAGGTTAACATATTATGGTGTTCCTTTACTAGGTTAATGAACAAATTATTCTCCATAAAATATTATGTAAATATCCAAACTTACATAAAGATAGGACTTCAACCACATAGCAAATACTAGCAAAGAAAAGAGATAAAACAGAAGCATGTCACTTTTAGATGCAAAATGTGGATATCCTTATTACTCTTGCTCGTGTTAATTTCAATTCAGCCTATTTTCACTATCTCACCACCTATCTTCCTCCAGGAAGATAAAGTGGAGCACCAACTTTGGCAAGAAAAACTGAATGGTAGTCAAAGCCTACCAAT